CCCCCCCCTTGGGTTTCGGAGGCATTACTACTATGGAAGTAGATCGCCCAACCTTCCTTCCAAGGAGTGGCTGGTGGGTTTGAACCGCCAGTCTTCTGGTTAGCAGTCAAATACCTTAGGCACTAGGCCACCAGAGCTCCCACTTGCTTGTTGTTGTTATGTGCCATCGAATTGGACCCGACTCATAGCGACCCCTCCTTGGGTTTCCGAGGTAGTATCACTACGGAAGTAGATTACCCCATCTTCCTTCCGAGGAATGGCTGGTGGGTTTGAACTGCCAGCCTTCTGGTTAACAGTCAGGTGCCTTGGGCACTACACTGCCAGAGCTCCCCCCACTTGCTTAAAGGAATGAAAATATTATAGACCACTGTATGCAAAATGTGGTTTCTTGACCAATATCATCAGCATCTCCTGGAACTTACTAGAAATACAAATTATAGTCCCCACCCAAGACCTACTTAATCAGATTATCTGAGGGTGAGGTTCAGATATTTGTGTTTATCAAACTTCTCAGGTGATTCTTATGCATGCCAGCTTTTGAGAAGCAATGAGGTAAGGTAAAAGAGAGGATGGCTGGTGCCAGAAGATTGTGGAGGTGCCATGATATAAAGAGATTGTTACAATTCTGTACATCTTCTTTTAAAGAATATTTGGGTATCAGGTTTATTATATCTATGATTTCAAACTGAGTTTGCAGTGGGATATGCTAGAGAGAAATGTTTGTGTAAGGAGTCTCTGGGTAGCCCATATGGTTAAGTGCTTGACTACTAACCAGGAGGTTGGCAGTTCAGGTCTTCCCAGAGGCACCTTGCAAGATAGCCTGGTAGTCTTCTTCCAAAAGGTCACAGCACTTAACTGTCACAGCCTTGAAACTGCCCTGCTCTGCTCACATGAGGCTGCCATGAGTGGGAATCATTTCAAATGACAACTAACAAGCAGCAGGGGAATTCAAGTGGGAAAAGAGTATCTGTGAGACATAAGAGAAGTACTGCTCATAGTTATAATTACCATGACATAAACATATATGGAGATTATATGTTGACAGCTTGGCCAAAGAAAGCATGACTCATGTGAAAGTGAGACTCATTGGGAATAAGAGAATCCCAATTCTTAGCAATTGTTATGAAAACCATCTCTCTGCTGGTTTTTTAATCAGGGCCTGAGAAGCTTCAGTTTAGGTACACAATAACACAATTACTTGACCATAAGGAGAGAAGGGGAGGGCCAAATACATGAAGATAAGGGATAAAAGGAGACAGTAAAGTTTTTGTTGCCTGATCTACTAACTCTGATGGGTACTTTACTAAAACATAAATGGTAAAAACTGTGTTTTATTTTGTTCTGTTATTTGCAGAGCAAAGATGGTCGACCTTTGCCAGCAAGGGATAAACGTGCCTTAAAACAATTTGAAGAAAGGTTGCGAACACTTAAGAAAAGAGAGAGGCACTTAGAATTCATTGAAAACAGCTGGTGGACAAAATTTTGTGGTGTTCTACGTCCCCTGAAGGTAAATCAAGGTTTTAAAAAAAACTGTGCTGTTACTCTTCACCCAAGTATATATGGTATTTCTCAGAAGAATTGAGTTTTCCTCTTGAGGCATTAAGCGTGGGGCTTAAAAACATGGATTTTGGAGTTAAAATAACCTAGTTTTAAATCACAGCTCTACTGTTTGGTAGGTTGAGCAAGGTATGTAACTTCTCTGAGCTTCATTTACTCATGTGTAATGCAGGGATTATAACATAGTTATTGGGAAATTTAAATAAAAATATAGCTGAGTAATGCAATATTCTGCCAGCATATTGTTAAACTTGTACTGTTCAATAACAAGGAGATCAGGGGAACTCAAAGATCTTAACTAAAAGTAATAGAATTTGCCTCATTGTTAGATATGTTTCTGAAAGTATGTAAGACACATTTAAGAAAGAAAATCATATTTTTTAATTTTGGAAATCATCCTTTGCCTGGCATCAGTTCTTGGGATGGAAGTTCTTGAACACTAAATTGATGAAGGCCATCATAACACGACTGTGGGACCTAAACTTAAGCTGTAACTGCTGACCAGAGACAGACAGACAGACAGACACACACACACACACACCCCACGTCTATATCTGGATTACAGAGAACATTTCAAACATTAGAGCATTGTATACAGTAGCAAATTGTAATTCAGAAAAGTGCTATAAATAGACTGGTTTGCAGAGAAGTCAGGCGAGATGAAGCTAGAAAGTAGATTTTGGCTAAATTTTTAAAAATGAAATTTTAGAGAACTCCATCAGAGATCAGTCAGGTTGAATCCTGGTGCTGCTTTGTCTTCCTCTTACTATTAGAAAAGAGGTTCACTGACTACTCACCATGAAACAATCCACTTTGGAAAGAGTTAATTAGTTTTACTATGTATCACTGTTTTTTAACCTTCTGTCAGAAAAATGTTTTAAACTCATCCCAGTCCTTTTTCCCAAGGTGATTTGTCTTCATAGCACCAAAGGTATGATGACACACTCTGTAAGCCTTATTTTAATCCTAAATTGTGTATCATTTCTTACAAACATGTATAGCCCGGTCTGTACCATTAGCTTCCTTCTTTAAAACATGTTCTGTCCCAATTCAGTTAGTATATGCTTAAAGGGATTTTTTTAAATCAACATTTGTAAGTGTACAGATTGATGTTGCCAAAGAGGTATGTAGATACATAGACAGAAAGACAAATAGAACATTGCTGATACCCTAAAAAACTATTTTATGCCGCTTTGCAGTTATTCCCTCACCATGCCCCCTTGAACTCTGACTTCAGGCACAGCTATAATTTCTACTGAAATTTCTATTGAGATTACTTTGAACTATAGGTAAATTTGAGAAGAATTTGATATCTTAATAATACTGAATTATGCAGTCCATGAACCTGTTACAGCTTTCCATTTATTTATGTCTTATATTTCTCTCAGTAATATATTATAATGGTCAGGTTAGAGGTGTTGGATATATTCTGATAAATTTATCTATAAATATTTCTTCCTTTATAGACTAATGATACTATTTTATTTCAATTTTCAGTTACTTGTTGTGAGTATATAAAACTACAGTTGTTTGTGAGCACTGGCCTTTTGTATCTCACAAGCGTACTAAAGTGTTAGTTCTAAGTAACTTTATTATAGATTTGTTAGGAATTTTTACATATATGATTGTATTAGCCTCTGAAAGATAGTTTTATTTCCTTTCAAACCTTATTATTTCCAGTTTTTGTTTTATTTTGTTTTAGTCTTTCCTTATTGTACTTGCTAGAAAGTCTGGTACAACATCAAATTGAAACAGAGCTGACATATTCCTAATCTTAGGGGAAAAATGTTCAGCCATTCACCATTAGGTATGATGTTAGTTTCAGACTTTACTTAGATACTTTTTATCAAATAGAGTATGTTTCCTTCTATTCCTACTTTGGTAACATATTTTATCATTACTAGATATTAAATTTTATTAGTATTTTTTCATCTATTGAGATGATTATATGATTTTTTTCTCATGTATTTTATTAATCATATATTACATTTGATTTTTCTGAAGTTGAAATAACCTTGTATTCCTGGGATAAACCCACTTGGTCATGATATCTTTTTTTATATGTTTCTGGATTGGATTTGCAGATATCAAGGATTTTTATTTCTATACTGGAAAGAGATATTGGTCTATATAGTTTTTTAAATGTCTTCATTTGGTATCAGGGTAATGTTAGCTTTCTAAAATGAATTGAGAAGTGTTCCCACCTACTTCATTTACATGAAAGAATTTGTATCTGATTATTATTTCTTCTTTAAATATTGGTTACAATTCATGAGTAAAGACATCTGGTGTCAGAGATGTCTTTGTGGGAAGGATTTTTTACTACAAATGCACAAGGTCAGTTTTTTTTTTTTTTTTTTTTGATAGAAAAAGTTGTTCTTCCATTTCTGTACTATGATCATTGTTGTTAGGTGCCATCAGGTCAGCTCTGACTCATAGCAACCCTGTGTACAGCAGAACGAAACACTGCCTGGTTGTGTGCCATCCTCACAATCCTTGCTATTACTTTCTTTTAAATCCTTGAGCATGTTTTCAGTTTAAAAAAAAAAAAAAAGCCAATCTCATTGCCATTGAGTTGATTCCAGCTCATAGCAAACCCCTTTAGGTTTCTGAGGTGGGGGAAATCTTTACAGAAGAAGATTGCCCAGTCTTCCTACGGAGTGACTGGTGGGTTAGCAGTCAGCCTTCTGGTTAGCAGTCAAATGCCTTAGGCCCTATGCCACCAGAGCTCAGCTGTTCTAAAAATTCTTTACTATCTATCATTTGGTCATTCAGAAGGGACCATTTCCCGGAGAAGGATGTCATGGTTGGTAAGGTGGAGGGTTGACGAAAGAGGGGAAGACCTTCAATGAAATGGATTGACACAGTGGCAGTGGCAATAGGCTCAAGTATAGCAGGAATCGTGGTGTTTCGTTCTGCTGTGCTTAGGGTCGCTGTGAGTCAGAGACGACTCGATGACACCTAACAACAAAATCATTTCTGGGTTTGTTTCTACTACTTTCTCACCTAATTTTGGGTCATATTTTCCTGATTTTCTGTAATGTATAAGGAGCTCTGGTGGCCTAGTGGATAAGGCATTTGGCCTCTCCTCCATCATTGGTTGGAATGCAGATTTTTTCCCAGTTCTAGGAAATTGTTCAACTTACAACTCCCCAGTAATTCTTTGCTTGACCTCATACTCCCATATATTCCTTAATATTTCAGCACCAGCTTCAAGGGAAGTCTTACATAGATTTCTGTAGCATGATGGTTTCTCCAGAAACATGATGGTGAAGAGTTTGGGCTTTGCAATTACATACACCTGGGTTAGTGTACTGTTTTGCTCTTTACCAGCTGTGTAACTTTCTTATTATTTCAACTTTCTTAGCCTCAGTTTTCTCATCCTTACAATGGAGTTATATGTACTTTTAACTCTGGGGACTAACTGAAATAATGAGGGTAGTGCAGGGCCTTTTAATGCAGGGCATTTGGCTACCAACCAGAAGGTCAGCAGTTCAAACCCTTCCTGCTCCATGGAAGGAAGATGGGGCAGTCTACTTCTGTAAAAATTTACAGCCTCAGAAACCCAATGGGGGTTGCTGTGAGTTGGAATAGACGCAGTGGCAGTGAGTTTGCTTTGAGTTTTATGTAATATATGATTAGATATTGAACATTGAGTATCTGAATTTTGTTATCTTCTATTTTTGGTTACCTAGTGCCACTCTGACAAGAATATACACCACAAATGGGATGGCTTGAACAAACAGGAGTTTATTGTCTTACAGTTCCAGAGACTAGAATTCTGAGTTCAAGTGCCAGGCTCTAGGGACTGTGTGAAAGCCCCTAGACCCTTGACCTTGGGTTTCAGCTCTGCCTCTTGCTCCCAGCCCACTAAAGCTAGAGGCATCTCCTCATTCAGGCAGCTGCTGGCTGCTGAGGCTAACAAGCCCAAGGTTGACAAATAAAATGGCACAGTCCCGATGTTACCAAACAACATGGCCATTGATTCAAGTCCATTGAAAGTCCCAGGGTCGGCAGAGCATGGCAGGCTGCTGAACAAAGACATGGCTACATCTAGCGTTCAAGTGTGCCATAAGCTAGAGACCATTCCCAAAGCTGTTTCTAATATACAGGAAACAGACCACATACCCAAAGGCAGCTACTCAGCTGCTCACAGTAGATTGCAACATGGAGTTGATTACCAGTCTCATCATGGGGAATACTACATCCAGCTGCCCAGTCACTCAACCAGGCCCAGTCAAGTTGACAGACAAACTTCACCACCACATCTACATTTAAAGATTGCTAGCCTTTGTGTAGTTCATTAAACTTGTGGATCAGCTTGATTTCTTCAATAATTGTTTTTTAGCTTTTTCACCATGAGAAGGGTAGCCTTTACTCTAGGACATTTAGCCTCTCTGCTCAGGGATGACACTTCTGGGATTTTCCAGAAAGCCCAGGTATCCAACAAGACCTCTCCTCCATCATTGGTTGGAATGCAGACTTTTTCCAGTTCTAGGAAATTGTTCAACTTACAACTCCCCAGTAATTGTTTGCTTGACCTCATGTTCCCATATATTCCTTAATATTCAGCACCAGCTTCAAGGGAAGTCTTATATAGATTTCTGTAGCGTGATGGTTTCTCCAGAAACATGATGGTGAAGAGTTTGGGCTTTGCAATTACATATACCTGGGTTAGTGTACTTTTTTGCTCTTTACCAGCTGTGTAACTTTCTTATTATTTCAACTTTCTTAGCCTCAGTTTTTTCATCCTTACAATGGAATTATATGTACTTTTAACTCTGGGGACTAACTGAAATAATGAGGATAGTACAGGCCTTTTAATGTAAACATCTCAAAAAATTATAACTGCTATTCTTATAGTTCTCTATATAGGATTTTTCAACTTCTTAAATGCTGCCTTGGAACTCAGGCAGAAGATTAGTTCTGTGTTCAAGACTTATAAAAAAT